TGGGACAACGGGAGGTACTTACAGTGCACGCATTTTCCGTCCTGTCATACACTGCCTTGAGCCGCCAGGGCCTGATGAGACGAATAACCCAAACCTAACCGAGTCTCTTCTACTGACGGTCACACCCTCAGCAGACCAGTAGTGAGCTTAGTAATTCCATGCGCGAACGTCGTCCGCCTTTGTAATCACAAGATTCTGAATACTGACTTTTGAAACAGACTTTGTTTTTTATTCATATGCACTGTAGCAGTTCGCTTTACAGAAGGGTTTACTTCAAAAACCGGACAACTACAACGGAACTATTTGACAAAATCGCTTTCTTGAATTACTTTCAGTTATCAATGAATTTGAATATATGAAATCATGTATGTGTATTGGGGTTTCATGAAATGTATGCCGAAAGCGATCCTCGCAGTAATGAACCCTACTTATGTAGTAGAGAAAATAAGGCCTGAAAAAAATTCAGGCCCGTACGGAACTTGAACCTATGATGTAAATACGAATCAACAAAATGACCAGCTCCCAGTTAGCTTGTTAGTTTAGTTGGTAGTCATAAACAAAGCATCATTGCATTGTTTCCGCCTTGGCAGTTAAGCGAAAGACCAGCTTTGTGGCAACAGTATAATTAAAAGAAGTGACGAACTTGCCTCTCTATGGTTTCTCCTGTATGTTAAGGATAGCATAAAATTCTATAAATCCAGTGGTATATAAAACATATACTAAAAAAGTCAAATGTCCATTTTACATTTCTCACTCGGAAAAAGGATTGTAACGATAAAAATGTGCAAGCTATTTTATAAGTGTTTTACTCTATGTACCAAGGATTAAAAAAATACTTTTTTTCTTTTCTAATCTTTAGTTTAACGTTTGGTGCAGAAGTGAATAAAAATTTTTAAATAACAGGCAGTCTATATTAGATTATGTACTCCTAGCGGAGGTCTTCTTGACATGTGCATCCAAGGCTTCGTTGAACAGCTTGTATCCTTCGAATTTCTTAGATTCTTCCCGAATGATTTTTTCCTTTACTTTACTTGACTGTGATTTCTAATGAGCGTAACGAAAAATAAAGAATATTACTTTTGTTAAGAACGCTAATAAAGAGAAGATACTTTTTCTCTTGTTAAGGTTTTTACCACTGATGATTGCACGGAAATGTTTTTACGAGTCATGATCAGATGGATTGAGATGGCAAATATTGGAGTGATTGAAAAGCCAACCCAAATAATTTAAGGACACCTTGAGGCTCTTCTACGAACGGCATCTTGAGACTCTTCTATGAGCGGAGGAATCCCTTTTCTAATAATCTCCCTTGCTATGAAAATGCTAAGAAGCCGCTCTTGGGACATGACAGCTGGCATCCGCAACTCATAGAAAGTGAAATAGAGGGTGACTAATGAAGAATAATGAAATATACAAGGGCCTAAAATATTACTCATTGATGAGAATGGCTCGAAATTTCTGAAACGAAACCCTTATGGCTCCTAGCTTAGCTCACAGGATAATGTGTGTAGCTTGCGGTGAAAATGAGGATGTATCATTTCGTCTGGAACATGTGATGTATTTCAGCTTTAAACCCACCTTAGATGACAAATTCCAAGTGGATTCGATTTTTCTCTCGCTTCGTTTCCCGTCCATTTTCTCCAGTTCTACCTAGAATCGTAGAAGTGATGAACAAGAGTTAGCTATTTGACATCCATAAGTTTCAGAGCGAGCGTGCTTCCGAGATCGAGATCTTCCAATATTCCAACATTGAAAGAATGGGTGCGCGCAAACTTGCGCTATCTTGGTGAAAAAAAACACAACTGCTTAGGACTTTTTAGGACGAGTTTTTGCAAATATGGCGTACAAGACATCGACAAACAAGCAGTTATTTAGTGTTTCAAATTAAGAATGGGTTTCATTACGACCCTTAATATCGACGAAGGGAAGATGTGGTTTAACCTTCAGCAATTTTATGGGACATAAAATTTTACTAAAAGCATATCACCTTTTAGATTGTACGCCTCTGATTTTACAAATAACTGAAATTTGAAGGCGAAAAGGTCTTTGTGACCGCAAGGCTATTTTAAAAGTCAACCACTTTCAAAGTTCTCAAAATAAGGGCTCCGCACAGATAGCGCCTGGAGGTGTTACGACCCATGTTAGAGAAAAGAAATTTCCCTGAAGGATGAAGTCACGGCTTATTTAGTATTTCAAATCACGAAAGGGTTCCATTAAGCCTTTTATCGAACCTATGGCAAGACCTTGGGTGGTCTAGTTTAATTAATTCTCAAGGTTAACCAAACACAGCAATGATCAAAGCACTTGCAAATCTGTTGAATCAACGGTATTTCCAGACTTACTCTTTACGACAAAAGCTGTAACAATAGTGACAAACTCTCTTTTTAAGAAAGTAAGTTAGAGAGGAGTTTAGAGATCCTAGCCCACAAAGGTGCTTCAGAAAAAACTAAGGGGAATGTGACGTATAGTGTAGCAGTTTTATGGGACATAAAATTTTAACAAAAGCCACGCAAATTTTAAGATTTTTTTGCTTCTGAGTTCACAGATTATCGAAACGTAATGGCAAAAGATTTTTACGACGGCTTAATCAATAGCGCTTTATACTATTACTAAAAATAGATTTTGTTACCTGATAACCTATGAGACCCCCCGCACAGACTCAGACAAACATTGCGACCAGCTTAAGGA